CGCAGTGGACGAGGAGTGCACGCTCGGCAGGATCATCGAGGAGGAGCTTGCGGGGAGGCTCTCGCTCGCCGGCACTGACGCCGATTCCTCCGTGCAGACCTCCATGTCGACGATGTCTTGCACGCCGGATCGGTCACCGGAGGCAGCCGAGGAAAGCGAGGATGAGGAAGCTGGCGCGGACACAGCTGAAGCTGAGAGGGACATGAGCGCAGGCCAGTGTCCGGGCCCTGGAGCACGCACAACGCGCAGAGGCAGTTCCCCCGCCCGCATCTTTCCCAGCATCTCGTCCACCTTCGTTTTGCGCTCGTTCGGTACCACATCGCCCACATCCGAGAGCGCAGAGACTGACGGGGTGACCGTGTCCGCGTGCCGGCCGTCGTCCTTCGCCGCGCGCCGCCAGAACGCGGCGCGCTTGCGCCAGTCCCGCGTCTGCGTGCGCGCGTCGAGCGTGCACCGGACCTGTGCGAGGTACTCGTCCTGCGTCCGCACGCCCGTCACAGGCTCGAGGAGTCGCCGCCACACGCTGTCTGGCTGCGCGACGGCCTGCTTGATCGCCTCCACGAGCGCAGCCTCCGGTTCCGCACCGCCGAGAACCGCGCAGTACGCACGCTCGACGACCGGCTTGCGCTCGTGCTCCCCGGCGGCAAGCACGACCTCGACGAACTGACGGAGGCGGTCGCACTCCGCGCCCAGCGCCGCGTTCTCCGCCGCGAGCGCCTCCGCGTGCAGCTCCTCTTCGGAGCTCGTGGAGGACGGCGCGCCGCGCTGCCCTGCGAGCGCGGAGAAGAGCTCGCGCCGGAGCTGCAGGACCTCGGACTGCAGGACGGCGATCTCGTGTGCGAGGCCGTGGTTCGCCTTCGTGACGGAGACGTGCGCCTCGTGCTCTTGCTCGAGGGCGGCTTCTAGGTCGCGAATGCGGTGGGTGAGCACGGCAACTATGCTCGTGTTGCGGTCGATTGCGTCCGGAGGTCTCGAGTAGAATGGGGCAGGCAGATGAGGATGGATGGCAGGCGGGAAGGGGAAACTAAGCGGCGCAGGGGGTATATACCCTGTGAACAGGTCTCCAGAGGCGGTGGACGTTGAGTTCGATGGGAGGAAGACCTCGGCGAGGTATGAGGTAGAAATGGGCCGTGTTGCGGGGGTTGCGATCGGCGCTGCCGCGAGACGGCTGAGCTCGGGGTCGGATTTTGCGCGCCTGTGGAACAAGTGAGAGAGTCGGGGGAAGCGCATCTTGGAACGAACGTGTGGATAGAGATGAGTGGATAGGGATGGGCTGGGTTGTGGTTAGTGGCAAGTTACACGACAACAAAGCCAACATCGGGGAAGGGGATCACGGTCGTACACAGCATGTCAAGCGAATAGTGGTTGTCGATCGTGATTGGGCGTCGTTGGAAAGAACGGTCCAATCGCAGCGGTGTGACACAGCTCCCATGTTACGTTGAACCCATCTATTCACAGCAACAACCTGCCTGCCCCCCACGCCCCCCTGGATGTGTGGGGCTCGTGATAGTCGACGGTGCCGGACGTATAGATCGCGTCGCGAGCGGCGGTGGACTGCGAGCTCGTCATAGCAAGACTCACCCGGTCGGACTGGTTCTCGGGGAACGCAGGCTGGAGGAGGCCGTAGCGCATGCGTGGCGACAGGTTCTCAATGCTACCATTTCGCCCGGCCTCTCACGGGCGTAGACGACGTGTAGCTTGGATTACGGCTGCCCTTCGTCGAGCAACTTGAAGCAGATGTGGAGGAGCCGTCCCTCCGGGTTCCGAGATGTCGATTACGGGCTTCGGGGCGGGTGATGGGTGTACTTGTTCACCATCTCCTCTAGGGCGCCGCAGCTCAGGGCGGAGAGCTGGTGGCTCTGTATGTGTGATACGTTGCCGTCGAACAGTGTCTCCGGCCGAAGGTTATACGGAGGGGCGATGGTGAAGAGGCAGGACATCGGTGATAGCCACATTGAGGAACACCGGAGCATGCAGATTGCTAATGACTCCTGGAGGGAGAGAACGGCAGCCACCGCAAAACCAGACAGTAATATGTTCATATGAAAATTACCGCAGCGCCAGCACGCGAAGCATGCGGCATGTAAGGGTCTTGAGTATCGCCATCTTCACGAGCTCATGGCACCCCCGAGATCCTGAACACACCCACCTAATGATCAGCGAATCGTAACCGACACGTGCACTTGGAGTATGATACATGGCCATTCGTCTGTAAAAGGTCCTACTTATGACACGTACGTCTTACACGGAAAGTAGAGGTGGCGGGTGACCATACAAGTGCCATGCGAGTTCCACGGATCACTACTAGCGAGAGTCACCTGAAGCGGAATGCCAGCGGGTCAACACGAGCGACGAGCTAGCATGCATACGATACACTCACACCGTCTCTCCTCCTTCATGCCATGACTTGCCGGGCGTCTTCACTGCACAAACACGAATGGGACCTGTCAACGAGGCTATGTCAGAATCCAACGTTGGTCACCACGGACAGCACCAATCCCACCCCAGCAATCGCGGTCTTGATTTTCTCCTGTGCCTCAGTGCTGAACGACGTGAAATCCTTGCAAATCACGTTGAGGCATGTATGGCAGATTCCGGATGTTTCGATGAGGAAAGCAGGTTGCAATGCATCTAACACAGTGGTAGCGTCGGGTAGGTATCGCAGTTCATCCTTAAGCCGATCCACGCAGGGTAGCAATGGAGACTGCACGCTTTCAATGCGAGCCGGTTGGGATGGAACCGGTACCGCTCGGACTTTTGCCGATTTACTGCAGTAGTGTGTTCCATGGGTTGAGAGACGATCGCACAACCACGCAGAGCGCTGTGTGAGCTCCCTGTGCGAGCCCGTGCCGATGTCGAACAAGGCGCGTGTAGCGTCGGAGCACCGACGACGATAGTCGAGGAGCCTGACAATCGCACGACCGCTGACATGAGCGAACTCGGGCGCGTCTTCAGGGTACACGGGCAAGCGCAAGGTCCTCCTCGCTGCCAGACGAGCGACGTCCTCGAAACCCCCCACACACGCGAGGGCGTACACGGTGTAGGGCCCTTCGTCAAGGAAATCCGATCGCATGAGGTGAATCTTCAGACGACTTCGTACGCCCATCATCTGATACTTCCTTGCTGCCTCCAGAAGATCGTAAATCTGCCCAAGAGCGATGTTCGGTTCCTCGGCGATATAGATGTAGGGCAGTAGCCACTCCCACACGCCGCTCTTCTCGGAGACATCGACTACTGGGCGTTCGTCGACTACCTTCCCCTCGATGGCTGGCTGCGGGAAGGAAAACAGGTCCGCGAAGACGGACGAGACATCTGCGAGGCGGCGCCGGTGGACGAAGAAGTCGACTTGATCGGAGGTGCGAAGGGTGAGGTCACCTTCGTCGGGATTCTTGAATAGTGCGATGGGAGTGGATGTAGTCGTAGTTTGCGCCATCGGGGCCCACGTTTCAAGCTGCTCGCTGTACGGAAAGACGAGGGATGGGGGAACGCTGCGGCAGGCTGGTGCGAACAGCACACACGGGGCGTGGGCTGCCAGAGCACGTGCTAGGCACATGCCGACGCCGGATGATTCTTTCCTAGGTTCTCAAGGACCGACATCATATCCTGAAGCACAAAGCAACGTTCTTGGAGCTCGTGTGTGGTTCCTGCTCTACGTCGATACTGACCTAAGCCCACCTCAGCTCAAGCCATTGAATTTGATACCGATCTACCAAGGTCATGGCCGCCGCTCTGGCGCCTTTCGAATGGATGGACCCAACGTCGGTATCGGCTGCGATTGTGATTTTTCTTCGCTACTCGTACATCACTCCAAACATGTACTGCATCACAAGTTAGCTGGACGTTCATATCACGTACAGGTATGTGCATACCACACTAGCTCTTTGGTCAGCACTCTTATTCATCCCTCTCCAAAAAACCAATCCCAGTGTTCCGTATCTTCGCCAAGAAGTTCTCGTACCACTTCGCAATGACGCCCATAGGCAACAGGGTATCCGGGGAGAGCGATATCGGGTTTCCCCCCACGAAACTCGAGACGTAGTTGAATAGGTGCTTTACGATGCGTTCCGCCATTAGAGTGGCGTCCGCGACGGGGTTGTTAACCTTCGCAACGGCGGAGGGTAGCGCCGACATCTCCTGTTGGATTTGCGTTAGGGGCTCAATGGAGAGACCGACAAACGCAGTGACGTCTGATGGAGACGTGTCGGACGCGGCGCCAGAGAATACCGCGTGGGTGTTCGTTGTTTGTGCAGAATAGGTGCCGCGCAGACGGAAGATGGCCGATGGTTTTTCATTGGACAGCCTAGGGGCGAATGAGACAAAATAGTCGCCGGCCCCGATTGGGGAACGTGACACTCACATTCCGAGTAACTGGAAGCCCTTTCCAGGCCAGTAGAAGTGTACCGTCGCGCCATAGCCGTCCGGGAAGGGTACTGCCATAGACCGCTCAAACACGCGCCCACAACTGATCAGAGTGTCGCATACCTGTGCCAAGCAAGAACACACAGATGTGGTTGATGGATCCTGCCGAGGGTAGCTCGAAGAGCGCATGTGTCTCGTCGATCTGCTGCAGATTCGTTTGCAGGAGGCGGCCGGCGACCAAACACCCGAACATGACTGGTTTGAGGAAGCTCAGTAGTAGTTTGGGGTGAAGTGAGAGGTGGCAGATTTGGAGGCCGGGATTGAGGTCGTGCTCGCCGTGTTCAGGTGCGTGGGCGACATCGTGGAGGACGTTCGAGCACGTTCGCGCGTCCGCCGTGGAGCGCGTCGCGCCCGGCGTCTATGCGCTCCGCCCCATCAAAGCACCGCCACCGACGCGATTTCAAGTTCGATTTGGTAGTCCTCGGCCCTGCCTCTTGAGACCGCTTCCTTGAAGCCATTCTGTCATTGGGGCTTGTGGGGGTTGTTGAGATTTTGGACTGACTACCGTCGGTCGAGTAGCTCGTGCAGGAGCTTGGGTAGAAGCCACAAAAATTTAATGAACAATTTGGGCTTATGTACATGGCGAGATGGCCGAGCGGTCTAAGGCGCCAGACTAAGGCTTACTCAGAAGTTGGTATCTGGTCCTCACGGGCGTGGGTTCGAATCCCACTCTCGTCAACAGCATTTTCCCTTTTGCCACGAGCACACGGTGCAGCTCCTCCACGTTCTACGCTGTTGATGGCTTGTCAGAAGCACTGTTTGAGGATGGGCATGTAAGCGCATCACTTCTTCCCTAGCAGACATTTCTGACATCGGACATGCATCAGCACTGTATCAACTCGTGTCGCATTCCCTCGATATTCGATAAAAACATAAACCCTTAGAGAGGGAAGCCAACTAGAAACAAGTCACTGCAGTACGCGTATACTCAAGCGAGAGCTTGAGAACACCGCCACATCTCCCTACTGTGTTCACCCCCAAAGGATCGTGCAAGGTGAACATCGGAACGAATGTCAGTATCCCCATGAAATTCATCGCAGTAGCACAGCGCTAACCTGAATAGTCTCACCGGTTTGTTCAGAGGCCTCTGATATGTAGGTCCGATCTCGGCCATATGATCATGGTCGACGCACAGCCAGCTTGCATGTGAGCACGCCATAGAGACTGCATGATGCTGCACCCCCACCCGGCTCTACTCACCGGTACATACTTTGATCAGGATACTCAGACTCAGCGCAGCGCTCAACGCTCTACGGAACTGGGTTCGGGCTTGCGACCACCGCTGCACCCACTCTTGCATCTCCCTCGATGGTAACAAACAGCGACCCTCCATCAGGCGCCGTCATCGCGCATCAGATGATATGCCCATCGGCGCTCGAACTACAAAGTTCGCGGTCAGTGCTACATATATCATCACTGCAGCTGAGAACGCCAGATTGGACCACTGCGTGTCTGTTGGACGGGTTCTGTGTGAGGTGAGGAACCGGCTGTGGTCCTGCAGCCGTCGCCACTGGATAGCGTGAGGGTTGTCTCCAGCTCGACGTTCTCGAGATGATGCAACCCGTGACCGGGGTCCGAGCCCAGATTCCCGGTCGGCTTTTGCTCCTCTGCAGGCGGTGGCGGATTCTTTCGGACAGGGACAGGGACATCCACACCGCACCGGGTGGCGTACCAACCCTGCCAGACTTGTCGCAGCTTGTGAGCCGTGAGCTAAACCTAAGTACGGTGAGGTCGCCGAAAGGGGCTGAATCATGCCGCCTGGCGAACACCACTGCACTCACCCCGGTCTGATGAGATCCATCCAGGCCGAGGTAGCAGTTGCTTCCCTTGAGGTAAATCCTGCCAAAGGGGACACCGACCAGTCGGGCCTCCGTTAGTGAGCCTTACATACCGTCCCACCTTGGGAGGGGCAGCCACAACCGGCGTGTACTTACATGCACCCGCCCCGGTCGTTGCACTTCCTCGCGTCCCACACCATCGGTTGCGGACCTGACTTGATGCTCTGTTCGTCTTGCAGGCCACCTTCGAACAGGACGTACGCCGGCTTGCCGTCCTCGCCCTCGAGCGGAGACTGGATTACGAACCCGCCTGACATGGGGTCGAACTTCCACTGCGAGCGCGGCCGTTAGAGGAGAGTTCGCACGACGGGCCCGGCCAATAGGCAGCGTACGCACCTGAGCATATGGATTTCCGGGTTCGAAGTGACCGCCGATGATGTTGGTTTGGCCGATGGGGTCGAGCTGCATGGTATGCCCGTGCTTGGAATTGAACAGATTGTAGGTCCCGGGCTCGAAGGTCCATGCCATGGGGAAGTGCGTCTGTGGGTTGAGTGGGCGAGCACAGGGCGAGGTACTTAGGTCTAACTCAGGGCAGCACGTCGTGATATAGCCAACCGGGACTAGAGAGCTGCTGAGGTAGTAAGTGATTCTCAGCGGCTCACGATGAAAATACGGGGTCTCCTGGATACATACCTCCGTTGCTTGTTCCCGGTCAGCTGGTTCGTACGAGCAGCGCTGCTAATATAGAAGTGAAGTGAGGATTGAAGTCGACCTTTCCCAGTACCGACCGAAGGTCCTTCGAATGTGAGCGCGATTTCGAAATCGGCATTGAGGTGCAGGTGCAATCAGCAACATTGCAGGCATGGGGGACCTAGTATGCATGTTAGAATGGCTCGCTGGCGTGACGAGAATAAGCTCAACGACCATCGTACCTGCTTCAAGCATATTTTGGTTCCTTCATCGACGCATCACGCCTGTCTCTCCACCGCAGCGTCAACCAGTTCAACTCGTGCACATCATGGGCGCTGCGGCAATGGCCCCGGGGTGATGTATTTGTCTTGAATCAGCAGTCCCCAACGTGTCTCAGCGACGAACAGGCAACGACAGGTTGGTACCACAGTAACACTGCATCTGGGTCTCCTTGTGAGGCAACATGTTGAACAAGCATAGTCTGTATTGCACCCTCGAGAGGACATGGGCTCAACTAGGTATCGATCATCGAGTAACACATGCAAAACAAAGCGAGAGATACTGGTACACATATCCCGGTCGAACCCATCCGCCACCGCGCCGCAGCGACGTCTCAAGCCTCAGGCCTCACCGGATGCTGAGGATGCCGCTGTGCGTGCGCCCGAGGGCGGTCGAGTCCTTGGCCTCCTTGCCCTTCTTCACCTTCGGCGCCTCCCAGATCTTCCAGAACTTGAGGTTCTCGTCACCCGCGGCGGTGCACACGAGCTCGCCGTTGGGCGCGAGCGCGCTGAAGAGCACGCGCGAGTCGTGCGCGTCCCGGATCTCCGCCACCTTGTCCATCGACGGGTAGCTGTGGACCATGATCGAGTTCGTCGGGTACCCGTGCGTCGTGACGAACTCCTTCCGGTGCGGCGACCACTGGATCGACGAGATCTGCGCGGGCGTGACGAGCGAGTGCAGGCGCGCACCCGTGGTCGTGTTCCAGATGTGCACCGTGGCGTCGGACGTGCCGCCCCCGGACGCGAGCAGCGCGGGCTGCCAAGGGCACCACGCAACCGCCTTCACGGCCGCAGTGTGGTTGCGCTTCGTCCAGCGCGCGGCGGACCTCGCGCTCGCGCTCGAGGTGCCTACGTCGCCGAGCCGTCCGTCCCAAACATTGAGCACGTTGTCGTTTCCTCCGCTCGCCAACAGTTCTCCATCTGAACGCCACTTCAGACCGCAGACCTCGCCTTGGTGTCCGAGCAGCTCCAAGACCTTGTGACGAGCGACGCGCACATCGTGGTGCCAGATACTCCCATCTTGACAGCCCGAGCTCAGGACGTGTTCGTGCCACGAGAGGCACCCTACTTGCGCCGAGTGTCCGGTCATCGTCCTCAACTTGGACTGTGTTTCGACGTCCCACAGCTCAACCGCGCCGTTCGGATAGCCAATGCCAAGGAACTGGCCGTCGTTGGAGAAGTCCAGAGAGGAGATATACGAACCCTCCGGACCCTCAGAGACAAGCACCACTTCGCCCGTGTCAGCCTTCCAGATGTACGCGCTGTTCCCCAGAGCGATGCCGACGATGTTTTGCGAGCTCCATGAGATAAGATTGAGGTAGAAGTCGTCGAGCATCCCGGGAGCGTCCAGGATCTTGTAAGGGAAAGTAGAGATTTTGCGATCCTTGCCGGTGGTGCTCGAGCTTCCACTAGGTGCGGAACCTGCCCGAGCGAACAGCGGGCGAACGAGTTCGCGAGCTTGTGCCATGAGTGGGTCGGACGACGCAGCCGGGGGTGGCTCATGGTACGCGAGGACACGGCGGTTGAGTGGCACACCGGTTGCGGCTGCGAGCCTCGCGGTGTGTCCTGGCGAGGCAGACTGGGGGTTCAGGGACATGAGATCAAGCGTTGCGGCGACCTCATCGGTGGGATCGCGAGTCGTGATGAAGCGGTCGCGAGTATCTCTCTGTAAAGATGATTCTGGTGAGCTCATGGTGTACGTGGTATAGTGGAGAGAGGAATGAAAGAGGATGGCAGTGCGCTGAAATGTTCCCTCTACATCATATGCTGATGAGTGGCACCGAAGACCGACTGAAGTCATAAAGAGTTTCCTTTTTCAGTTAGAATGTGCAAAGGCCAGACCAGCAGGGACATTGACGAGGGCTGAACGCAGTCCCCGATGTAGACACTTCGGAATTTGCGTCCGTGCTGACGTATCACGGTCTGTCCAACGCAGTGGCGTATATGTAGACATAATATCCGTATGCATGTGAGTGTTCAAGCGAGAGGATTGATCGCCAAGGTGTCCGGACTAACAACGGCCATTCGAGGTGTGTACACATCGCATGCGCAGGGGGTAGAGACCACCCATTGCTCTCCGTCTTCGCTGCACGCTCGTTCTCGTAGTAGTGGCACAAGACTGTGTACATACCGATGGCTGAGATCGAGAGCGTTTCTCGGACTTTGGTGGGACGTAATCGCGAGTGACCACATCCAGTCTGCTCTCCACTCCGCCTTTGCGTATTACGCCTGAGCTTGCCTGGCGCTTGAGGCGCTCAGAGACCTGTGTGGTGGTAGAGGTTGCTCGCTTAATAGGAGAAGCCGGGCGACTGGGAACGATGAACGGGTTGGAAGCGTCCGCAGCGTTCATGCCATGGGTGGACGCAGTCAAGGGGGTCTTGGCCTCTGAGCGTGAGCGATGGCGACTGCCAGTCGGAGTTTTGGGTGGGTAAGCCATAATGTGCAAGCAGACAGAGGTAAGTGAGGTGAGGAGAGATGAAGGAGAGGAGGACGGAAAAGAGGAGGATGGTGGAGGTAAGAGAGAAAGCGGGATTCGGTCGGTTCTCTCATCCAAACACGCGTTTAGCGCCCGAACACACGCAGTAAGCGCGTGGGACGCGCCGTATCATGTGACCGCGTACCACCAACGTGCGGGCTCGTCGCTTGGTTGGGGAGAACCTTGGGATCTCCGTTTGTCAGTCATGCAAGACTTTCGTCACCAGTGTATCATATAGAGAATCATAGTATATTACAGGTCCTCGCAGCAGCCTTCCGGCGGCCTTGTGTACACTGCAGGCGCTGCCAGCGTCTTTGAGAGTATATTGCGATATATTGACCACAAAGCCCCTCGTGTATGGGCGAAATGGCCGAGCGGTCTAAGGCGCCAGACTATGGCTTGTTCAGCAGTTGATATCTGGTCCTCATGGGCGTGGGTTCGAATCCCACTCTCGTC